AAAAAAAAAAAAAAAAAAAAAAAAAAAAAAAAAAAGTGCTAGCTATTATTATTAGTGTTTGTTTAGCTAGACTAGATTTTTTTTCTTTCCTGTTCTATTTTTTAAGATTGAGGATTTCTTGAGGACACAGGTTATGTCTTAGTCATCTTGAATCTCTATACCTAGCACTGTTATCTGGTAGGTTCTAGGGTAGAGGGTGTAGAATCTTTGTTGTATGAATGTTAAATCAATTGTTCATCTAGCTGATATAATCTGTGTTGCTAAGGTTGTGGGAAAACTAGCATTCTCATGCTGGTAAGAATATAAGATTGGAAAAGATTTTTTGGAAAAGATTCTCTGTGACCTAGCAATTCCAATCTTAGGATTTATTTTGTATTAATATTTGTACTTGTGCACAAAAATATATGCACAAGAATATTTGTTGCAACACTGTTTGTAATAAAGAAAAGCTAGAAGCAACCTAAACATACAAAAATAGGTAATGAGTTAAATAACAGAATAGTCTACATTCTCTCAACATGGGGTGATGATGTACCTTAATTCCCTGTCCGCTCTTCCTGGTGCCTTCCTACCTCAGAGCAAAAAATGCAGAAAAAGGAAGAGGTCATGCCATATTAAATGCTCACATCCACAAGAAAGGAGAGTACCTGGTTTTTGACAGGAGTAACATATCCCTTCTTTCGATAGTCGATGGAGTCTGGGGTTCTGCCTTCCCAGTCTGGGTTATAGAGGGTGTCATTACTGTGGGAATGAGAGGGAGGTACTTTGAGTCCAGTCATCTTCTGAACCACCTCTTCACTGTTCTGAGACAGAGAAAAAAGAGGTCAGGCATTAGCAGGGAACTAAGGCAAACAGGACAGGTGGGCAAGGAACTGAAGCTCCACTCACCATGTCTCCCAAGTGGTTCATGGCCAGTTCATACGTATGGACACCAAGAGAGGCCTCAAGGTTATGTATGGAAATATACTTCAGGTTTTTTTCCCAAATTAAACGCCTAGATATTTCATCCACCTAAACAGAGCACAGTCAGTATTTGCATAGACTGTGTGCAAAATTACATATGTAATACTGTGGAGGTTTTTAGGAGAAAAGATGAAACTCATAATCATAAAAAGCTTACAATCTAGTTGGGGAACTGACCACGGGATTATTAAGAGCATGCAAAAAGAAGCATGTAAAGAAATACAAATAATACATTACAAAGCTCTGGAGAGATCTATAGAAAAACTGCTTTTATAGATTAATAGCATTAATCTGAGAAGTCTTCTCAAAAGAGAAATATAAGATAGTTATAAAGCAAAGGAAGGATAGGACTTGATAGAGGGTGAGTTGATGCACAGGAATGAAACGTATATTAAGAAAACTGAATATTAAGTTAGGGAACAGGGGCAGGTTTGCTTGGTTGGCATAAAGTATTTGGATCAAAGAGGGGAGTCTGGAAGCTTGGATTAGAGATCTCAGGTTCCAGCCCTCCTCCCATGATCCCCCTCCAGGTCCCCCGGCACCTTGCTGTTATACTGCTTCCTGTAGGTCTTCTTCCATAGCTCCCACTGGGTGTCCAGTATCTCTTCAGGGTACAGAGCAAAGCTCACCATGGGTAGCAGCAGAACCTTGAGCCCCCACATCCTGGGGAAGGGGATAATTAGGGGAGACTCCTCCATTTGGAGGGGGATTCACAGCTTGGCTTAGGATGAGGAAATAGCTGAAGCCTCATTCCAGGACAGATGGCTCTTAACCTTTTAGAAGTTACACTCTTTTGAGAAGCTAATAAAAGTGTAGTGCCTCACCAGAAAATGCATCTACACACAATAATCCTAGGGAATTCATGAACCCAAAGCTAAGAACCCCCTCCTCTGAACCATGAGGCAGAGGAAACCTAAGCTCTAAGATCAAGGTAGACAGAATTGAGGGTGATTTTTATATGATAAAGCAAACAATGATAGACAGGAAGGGCCTAGGTTTGGATGGGGTGCTGGTACAAATGGTCCCAAATTTGACTTGGGGAGATTCAACCAACACACACACACACACGCACACACACACTTGCACAATCAGACATACACACTTGCGCAGACAACCACACACACACACACACACACACAGACAACCAGAAACAGGGTGGAAACTAGACAATCAGAATGGGCTCAGCTCCTGTCTCCTCCAGTATTCCCAGCTTGGAGATGAACAAGGTGGGAGTGGGTTTGGAGAATACACGAAAGAGAGATTTCCAGCTAAATTTTGCATTCTGATAATTTCTTCAAGACATTTTTTTCCTTGTCTAAATTCTGATACTTTTCCAGATCTTGCCAGGAGAGGACAAGAGAAAAGTTGACAGAATTTCCTGTTTTCTAACTTTGAGACAGAGACATTTGCTGTCTTCTCACTCTCATTATGCATTTCTTCCCCCTCTCTCCTCCCTTCTCTCCTTAGGCAGGAAACTGCCCTAATCTTAACCAGATGCTGTGGACAGGGAGGTTTCTTTCCTACTTCCAACAACAGAAAAACTTCTGTGGCTGCCTCACAGGACAAAAAAACCTCAAAAAAGCAATGTTCTATGAAGATTAAATTCACAGCTCTTCAAAGTTTATACTCTTTCCCCTCTTCTCACTATTGAACTTGACTTAAAAAAAAAGTTTACTCTAGCTTCACTCATTTCTTGCATTGGCTTGCTTAATTACAAAGTCCTCCATTTTAAGAACAATTTGGTCTGAAGCAAGTCATACGACTTGCACAATTTTTAAATTTATACTCCATTTTTGCGTAATTTTTGCAAACTGGCAAAATGTTCAGTAGAACATTTAATAGCTCTAACATTGAGTGCTTTGAGATGTCTCAGAGTAGGAAGTCCGGGTACCACTCCTCCTCCTCTTCACTAGCTGAGTTAACCCTTTTAGCTAAAGCAGAAAACCGTACAGAGAGGCCACTCTTGAGGGATGGGTAAAGGATTCCCTACTTCCTTTGTTTTTACTAACAACCATATATGCATATATACAAAACACATAAGAAATCCTAAAGATCTCCAGGTAGATTTCAGGTGGCCAGAAAATGACCTGAGAAAAGCATCTCTGTTTTCATCTGCAGAACCTATAAAGTTCATTTTAATCCCCAAATTATTATATACTTAATACTCCTAAAATAGAGAACAGGCAGGAAAGAGAAGTTAAAAGATCTAGGAAGTTGAAAATGTTACCTGCTGATGGGAATCTTGTCTGGGCTCGTTTCAGCAGGGAAGTGTGGCTAATGTGGGCAGATGACTAGGGATGCTGGATTTATTCCATCAGGATTGCGGAAGTCAGCTCCAGCAGTCGGCTGGAAAATTTGGATAAGGGAAGTAGGTGGGGATAGAAATGCTGAGGGGGCGGGGGGGATTAGGGAGGAAGGAAGGAAGCAGCAGATTTGCACAGTATGTGTGTGTGTGTGCGGTGCGTGTACCAGGGTGGAGAATTGCTAGCTATTTAGTTTCACATGACTGTCTTTGATGGCAAACAAACAAAAAGACTTCAATACACATTACTCAAGATGGGGCTTACCTTCTCTTCTGGAGGGTAAACAGAAGGTCACAGCCCTAGTATCCCCCATCCTTCTTTTCTACTATCCTTTATTATATTGGGGATTACATCTTTTCCCACCCTTTTCCTGTTATGACCCACCTCCCCAACCTTGAAACCTCAGTTTTCAAATTTTTGTCTGAGCCTCAACCCTGGGATGAGGGAATAAACACAAAAGGCTAGAGAAGAATAATGTAAGGGAAGCCATATGCTCCAAAATTGTATTTTATAAGATTGTTGGCTAAAAGTTTCATTGCTCCCAGGCAGGAGAATAACTTTCTCAACATAATGCAGTTTTGCTGAGGCAGGATATGCCCAGAACTGGCTTTAAAAGTAACTAAAAACAGCACTCCTGGCTATTTATGACAGCACTTGAACCAGTGCCATAAGTTCTGATGAACTCACATGTGACTCTGTTGCTAAAACTCTCAGATGGTAGGATGCCTGATGAACATTATCTGTCTCAATTATTAAAATCCCTAATCTAGGGCCGGCCCGTGGCTCACTCGGGAGAGTGTGGTGCTGATAACACCAAGGCCCCGGGGTCGGATCCCATATAAGGATGGCTGGTTAGCTCACTGGGAGAGCATGGTGCTGGCAACACCAAGTCAAGGGTTAAGATCCCCTTACCGGTCATCTTTAAAAAAAAAAAAAAATCCCTAATCTAGGGCCGGCCCGTGGCTCCCTCGGGGGGGGGGGGGGCTGGTAAAACCAAGGCCCCGGGTTCGGATCCCATATAAGGATGGCTGGTTAGCTCACTGGGAGAGCATGGTGCTGGCAACACCAAGTCAAGGGTTAAGATCCCCTTACCGGTCATCTTTAAAAAAAAAAAAAAATCCCTAATCTAGGGCCGGCCCGTGGCTCCCTCGGGGGGGGGGGGGGCTGGTAAAACCAAGGCCCCGGGTTCGGATCCCATATAAGGATGGCTGGTTAGCTCACTGGGAGAGCATGGTGCTGGCAACACCAAGTCAAGGGTTAAGATCCCCTTACCGGTCATCTTTAAAAAAAAAAAAAAAAAATCCCTAATCTAGGCCCAGTCACATGAGCTCTCCAAATGCTTCCCCAACATCTAGCATGTGACAGATCATAAGAGTCTAGCTCAGTTCCCAAACCGCACCCCCAAATTCCTATTTTCTTCCATAAACAGATGTAGAGAAAGAGGAAAAGAGGGCCTTTGAAAGAAAGGATAATACATAGGATCTAGATTGTTTCTAGCTGGATTCCATGCATAGACCCTCAAGAACACAGGCTTATGACTCTGCACTTTAAGAGTTGCTAATGAACCACATGGTCCTAGAGGGAAACCAGGTCCAGACTTGGCCAGTTTAAATTTCCCCATCCCTAACTCTTTTTTCCAGAAGAGAACATACTGCGGGAATGTGCCCAGTGGTTTCCAGTCCAACTCTTCTCTTCTCTCCCCAGGACTTGGGCGACAACCCCCACCCTCCACCTTGTGGTCAGAATGTCCCTGCTGATTTTACTCAGAATGCGTCAGGATCAGGAGGGGTGATGAGTGATCAGAGCTCTAAGATTTCTGATTCCTGAAATTAAAGACTCACACTGTGCTTTATGCTTGTACGTTTGGAGCTCAAGCTATGAATTCCTTTAGTTGTGGGTGTTTGTTGTTTATGAGCTGGAATGATAAAGCCGCAATCAAGATGACACAACACAAGAAATTTTACAAAAGGAAAAATTATTTTGTTTTAAAATCTTTGCTACATGTCATTATTTTTGCCACTGTAAGGCTTAGCACGGATGCCAGCAATACAGAAATGGCCAACAGAAAAAAACAAAACAATCAAAAATAAAACCCTGAAGGAAAAGCAGAAACAAAACCCCCAGAGCATCTTTTCCCTACCCTCCCCTTCCCCAAAGCCCTATAATAACTGTACAATATTATAGTCCTGATCACATTTAAAAAGTCGATTATTAAAAAACAAGGATTCCATTGGAAACTCAACTTTTTGGTTTCGTAAATTGTGATATAAATATATATGTATACTGTATGTGTGCATATAGAATAAAAAAATAAACTGTCTCCTTTTCGATTCCACTACCTGACACCAGAGTGGAGACAAAAGGGAAGGAAACCCAGTAAATGACATTCCCTCAGCTTCTCCAAAGCCATCAGTGCTCCTCAGTCCCTTGACTACATTTAATATGCCTTCTCCTTATTAACTCAGTTTTGCACTTAGATACTGGCCAGAGCCAATTTTTTTTAAAAGGCTGATATATGTGACTATAACCTGAGGAAGATTGAGGGTGAGTAGTAAACTGTATCCGCATTTATATGGCTATAGTTATTTACCAAGCGACCCTGTTGGGATGTGAGTCCAGGTGCCATCTAGGTACTTCAAAAAATTCATGGAAAAACAGAATTAAAAGATAATACAAATCTTCCCATGAACTTTTTGAAGATCCCTCACGTCACATGGAGTGTGATACTTATTCTATAAAGTAAAACCCAATTAAGATTGGAGATGGACCAAACAGGAAAGAAATATAGGCTCAGGACAGACTTAAATTTGTTTCTTGATAAACTGGATATTTTGGGGATGGGATGAAAGAGGCTCCTTTGCAAGAAGGCTTTTGTATTTGGTTTATACTCCAACAGTGAGGCTTTTCACTGGGACTGCGAATCCAAGAAGTTGAGTTTCCATGCAGAAATAACCTCTACAGAACACATATGTGATTCTGACAGAAAAAAATGCAGCATTATCCTTATGGCTAAGTCTGGGGGTTCTGAAAGTGTATATTTTGCCAGCCTATTTCAGTAATGTTTGCAGATCTTCCAGATAAGGTGAGAGCACCAAAAGCAGGAGTAACCCAGCTTTATCACTGACTATATTTGATGAGAGACCAACCATAACAACAGAAAACTTTATATATTTGCTTTACAGTTGCATATTGGCTGAGCATAGATGTAAGTGCAGCAAAGACATTTATTTCAATGCTCTTTGGCTGCAATACTAAGTGGAAAATACCTGGAGGATTTAACTCCTTAGGACTCTCTGAAAAGTACACAGAAAGACAAAGGTAAAATCTGGGACAAATTTTGCATAACTCCCCAACAGGGAGAAAGAAACATAAAAGCGCGCGCGCGCGCGCGCACACACACACACACACACACTCACACACACTCTCTCTCACACTCTTCCTTTCTCTCACATACATGTTTCTTTCCAGAGGAATTGCTCACAGGCAGCAGAAAGAGCTCATGCTCACTTCCTAAAGCCACATACATACCTACCATGGTTCATGGTCCTCGAATATGAGGATACTTCTCCTTTCCTTCCCTCTATTTAGAATTTCTTTCCAAAAACAAGCTATAGTATCCAAGGCAAATAGTGGATGTCAGATTATTCTAATCTGCCTCTTGACCCTAACATAAATAATCACTGCACATCTGGTCAGGAGACATAAGGAAAGGCATTCTAACCTCACCCAATCTCACATTTCCAAAGGGTCCTAAAGGCCTTGGGGATTCATTCCATTTCTTCTATAAAAGTTAACTCAGAGGGGCCGGCCCGGTGGCTCACTCGGGAGAGTGCGGTGCTGATAACACCAAGGCCCCGGGTTCGGATCCCATATAGGGATGGCCGGTTCGCTCACTGGCTGAGCGTGGTGCTGACAACACCAAATCAAGGGTTAAGATCCCCTTACCGGTCATCTTTAAAAAAAAAAAAAAAAAATTAGTTAACTCAGAGAGCAAGGAGGGCTGGGGGAAGGCCAGAAGGGAAAAGGGGTACATGTCAGGGGTGAGGGAAGGGAAGGGAGAGGAACTTTTATTCTGTTTACAGAAATACTTGCTTTTTAAAAACAGTGATTTTTCTCCCCCACCCCTATCCTCACCCCAAAAGTTCTATTCTGAAAAGGAGGGAAACATAGCTAGATCAGGAAATTCTTCATTGTTGTAGCTGTTGCTCTGGTCTCCCAGCATGGACAGCATCTCCTAATGAGAGAAAAGATCAAATTTGAGCCACATACATTGATCCCTTACATTTACTGAGTTCCATCCCAACACTCCCCTGCACCACCATCCATGTCCAATGAGTTTCTGCTGTGTTGAACAATCTTAGCCTCCCTCACTCTCTTATTATCCCTCACTGGCAACTCTCTTATTCCTTTAGATCACAGCCTTTTTTCCTAGTCCCTTCTCTGTTTTCTCCTACAGTTTCACATTTTTCCTCTGTCTAGTCCTCAATATTTTCAAAGGGAGAAAAATCTGCTTGCCACATTTTATAAACCACCTCCATATAATCCCCTAGAGACATACAAATATATGGACTATCTTTTATCCCATTTGTTTTCCACCAAAAACTATTTTGCCTTCTTTCAATCTGTGTTCTTCCTTTGCCCTACCTAAGAGTACTCCATTCATTCTTCAGTCCCCTTGGGACTTGTGTAAATAGACCTTTATAGCTATTATCAGTATGTTCTATTTCATATACTTGTTAAAAAAATTGTCCTCACTATTTTAAACCCAAATCTACTGTGAAGTTGGGATGTGGATGTCCTTGAATGAGCTAAAATAACTTTCATTGGTATCTTCACATGGTGCTTCACATCACTAATTTTGTCTGTTCTGGTTAAAGGGTGTGC